TATATATATATATATATGCTATGAAATCAGTGTATTAATGAGAAGCAAATTACTTAAAGATAAAATTTAGTAAAGTAAGCATAGGATGAATTAATAAAAGCCTAAAATAGAAAAGGAAGGAAAAGGTATAACATCAAATTCTTTTGATTTTAATGGAGAGAATATCGCCAATATTCTGCTTGATAATGGAAGATGGGATAAGCCTTCGGATACAAATTCTGATGATGTTGAATGTATGGGTTTATCTGAAACATTTCAGAAATTATATTAATTTTAATTCCAATAAATTGATATAGAATTGGCAATTTTTCGTAGTTTTCAACTTCTAATATTTTTCAAAGGTTCAAAAAAAAATTGATTCTTTTGAAAATGGTTTATGCCACATTTTTTATTGGTAGGAATTGAATCATTTGTTTTTGCTTACTCTTTACTTTTTTGCTATTTTTCATTGAGAATTTTTTTTCAATAAAGCGTTCCACCTGCCGATAAGATATTCACCGTTGTAAACTGTTCCAATTTCTTATCTTTAACACGTTTTTTCATCTTTTTTCAGCAAATTATCAATCAAATTATTTTTTTCTTTCACATAAAAATGTTTCTCAGAAATAATTTTCACAAATGTTACGAGTGGGAAAGGCAGAAGGACAGCAATAATTTCATCCTATCAATTATTTCCTTTCCAGTAATTTCATTTCGGTTGGAAACAAGGTAAGTGTGCCATTTATTCACATATGACAAAACATATTCTTCTAAACTTCAAAAAAAAAAAGAAAAATTGAAAAATATTTTGGAATATAAGATAATAACTAAATTTTCAGTAATAATTTGATCAATCAATATGTGATTTGAATTATATTTTTATGCAATGAAACTACTCAGTCTTTGATTCTGTGCTTCACGTACGGCTAAATGATCATGAAGCATTTAAACGGTGAAGTGAAAAGGAAAAGAGAGGTTCGAGGGGTCACGTGAAATAATATGAGAGACGTGAGTTCAATTAGCAGCTCAGATTTCGCTTACCATTTGAAGAACCAATTAAACACGACTGCTTTGTGAAATTCAACCGAAATGTATTGAAAGTGTGATCATCGAACTGACATTTTTATATGAAACTTGCAAAATTAAAGAGAAATGTGACAGTGAAAATTGTTGAAGCATAACAATTCGCAAAGTGATCCCGCGCATTTCACTCGGAATTGTTGGTTCGGTGATTAGCAGCGGGGGAATATTTGGGGGAGGGCGAATGATGCGCGAGAGGGTAAAGATTAGATTTGTGGATGTGTGATGTTTGCTGTGAGATATCTCATCCAAAGCCATTATAGGATCACTCAGAGGTCGTCATGTTTCGGCACCCGCCTCCACGACCATCAAGTCAGGCATGTCATTTTTCTTTAACTACGTCTTTTTTTTGTGTCTTTTTAATTTATAAATAAATTTTTCTTTTCTAATTGCTGATAAAAGTGAAACTTAGGCTATCAGAAATAAACTTCAAATTTTTCATTTTGAAAGAAATACATCAATTTAAGAGATTGTCGATGTTATGATTCTTTCACATTGCTGAAGGACTGTATTTCGTTTTCAGAATGATAGCAATTCGCTTAAACCACCCAAACCACCAGATCGTCCATTGGTTCCATATATGAGATTCAGCCGAAAAATGTGGGCCAAAGTAAGGATATTTGTTGAAAATTTTACAGTTGCTAATAAATTTTGACTTTTAATACTAATCAAGTTTTCTTATATTTTTTTAAATAGTTCTTTTAATAGGTAGTTGGTAATTATTTAAAAAAAATATTTGTTTAGGTACGAGCAGAAAATCCGGATAGTCAATTGTGGGATATCGGCAAAGTGATTGGCCAGATGTGGCGGGATGCGCCGGAATCGGAAAAAGCTATATATCATCAGGTTGTTTGCTACAGAGTTTCTGTTCCCCTATTTTCAGTGTCTCACATAATGAGCAGTAATTCATGATTGCTCCTACTCGATTTCTGTTTATTCAAATTTAATTCATAAGTCTTTTTTTTTTGAAGGAGTATGACATTGAACGGCAAGAATATGAAAAGGCATTGAAGGCTTATCACAACTCAGCTGCTTATCAGCAGTATCTGTCAGCAAAAAACCGAGCAAAAGTCAGCGACAAATCAAATACAGTTGGCGGTGTTATTGCTGGTTAATTAGATGATTTGATTTGTTATCAACTTTTCAATTCTTTCTTAATTCGTCGGCGCTAAAATTTCCAAATTTACAATTAAACGAAAAATCAGTTTAGAGCATAATTATCGTTTTACATTCAATACACAGTAACACATTTTCGGGATGCCGAAAATTTTTTTATACTTTATTTGAGAGTAATGGGATAGTGCAAGTTGAGTTTAGGACTTTGTAAAGCAGTCAGTTTACAGTGATAAGTAGTTATCATTTGTCGTTGAACTAATACATTTTACAGCTAGTCGCGGCCGGTTGGATACAGGAGGCGTTGTCATTCAGCCAGTAGAAGATGAAGAACTTGGCGATTTATCCTCCCGTCGAATTGCTGCTGTTAGGTTTGTCAGTTCGTGAAACTTAACCGTTATGGAACTATTGTTGTTAATCTGAAGCATAATATATGTCATATATCTTGTCCGTTTTTTGTTACAGATTCGATCGAAATCATCGCCTCATAGCGGATCTCTTTAGTGGTAACGTTGTTACCGATACCCGAACAGTTCTTGCTCAGAATCGCATCGAAATGCTAAAGAAGCAAGCAACTTCACTAGCTTTGCATCAAGTAAGTTTTACTAACTTGTGTAATTCGCAGTTTTTCATGGAAATATATTCAGTGATTTTTTGTGGTGAAACGAATGCTATCTCAGTTGTGAAAAGTAGATTAGAGTCTTAAGCGTTCTTTAAGCAGTAGTCGACAGCACTATCGGAATGAAATTAGTGATACTATTAGTAAGTTTTCAGAGTAAGCTTGAAGAGGAACTCAAGAAATTGAGCGAAGTTTTTCAAACCAAAAAGCGTTCAATGGAGATTGCATCGGAAGAATTTGCAGCAAAATTGAAGAAAGTATGTGAAGAAAAACCTCAGGTCACTCACAAATGTTTTTTCGCTATCGAACACATTATTCTCTTTTAAGAAACCAAAATTATTGTTTATTTGAGATCAACGGATGTTGTAGGTTTTTTGCACATTTAGTAGTATAATTTATAGATGTCTTACTGAGAAAAACTGGTTATATTATGCATAGAATACTGTTTACAGCTCGATGAAGCAAAATATTCATCTATGGTTGATGATTGGTCAGAAAAGTTACTTAGTGCTTATGATGACTACAAAGCTAAACAGGAAGCATTACGTGCAAAGCAAAGTAAGTGTGGTGCTGTTCGAAAATCTCGAGTAATGAAAGCGACAGATTTCATTCGTTGGAAATAAACCATATATAAAATTTTGTTTTACTAATAGGCTTTTCTTCTCTTATTTCTACAAATACTAGTATTTAATACAAGACAGAGTGGCTAAAGATCATCTTGAATCTCGCTGTTCTTTCGTAGCAACGTCTTTACCATAATTTAAAGTTCTTTGAATCAAATATTATCATTAAAATTGTTTTATCAAATTTTATATATAGAAGAAATTGAATGGACCAAAACTCTTTGTTTTAAACTTTTTCAGTAGTAGAACGAGAGCAGTTGGCGGAAGAAACGCCGATACTATATCGTCTAACTGTAGGCGATTCATCTCCTTCACCCAAGAATAAAACAACTGATGAAGGACAATCACCGCAGATAAACACTGAGCAGCAACAGCATGCGAATAGTACTGCAGTCGCTTCTGTTGATGCAAACATTTCACCTGCTACTTCATCAAGAACTTCCACTAATACAGCACCAGGAGAAGAAACTGAAAAGTTAGTACAAGATCACCAAGAGCAGCAGGCTAAGGAAGCGTCGATCGATCCACCAACTTTAGAAGCATCGGGAGAGATTTCGTGAGCTTACTTTGCTGAGAAAAAAATAATATAAACATGAAAAAAGTAAGATTAATCATACAGTGACGTCCATGCTTTTGTAAAAGATTGTTTTAAGTTGGAAGAAATTTTTTTTTTAGTCGAATAGCAAAATTAATGCGAAATACGTTTACTTCACAGGATTGCTTTAGCACAGAATTTAACACGTGCTCTAAAAAAAAAGACCATCCCGAATATGCTTGAAAAAGAAGTTTATACTTTCTGTTTGATTCTCATGATATATGCACAAAATATGTTCAAATTTTTACTTGTGAATTTATAAAAGTTTTAACTGATGAAAAGTTCACAAACAATTCTGTTACTTTTTCAGTAAAACGGTTGAGTTTTCTGCAAACTTCGAAAATTTATATTTTTATGTCTGTTTTATCCTTTTGGCTTCGACGCATCAATACACTTTTTTAAATTTGATTAGGTTCTTGATAATGATTAAACTCGTTCTTTCTGACTCAGAAGATCTCACAAGAAAGTGTTGTCCATAATTTAATGAATTTCTCATTTGTTGAAGATTTCTTTGTCGTGTAAAAACTTTTTTTAATTAATAAATAGAGAGAACGAGGATAGGAGATAAAAGGCGGAAATAATCAAAGAGTTATCTCGAAAACGAATCATAAAGTTTCGGCGTTCATTTTCTCGAAAGTACCTGGTATATTAATAATGGGATCGGTTGATTCTTTAGTTGATGATTTTATCCGGCAAAATCCTTCAAGAAAGATTGTTCTAATTACGGTTAGTTTTGAATTCATACTTACGATTGCTATTGCATGGATTTCTTAAATTTTTATTTTGACAGGCTCGTCCTCTAAAACTTTGATTTTAAAAATTTTGAATTTAATCAGAATTGATAAATCAAAAATGTTAGTACTACTGGTTCAAATTGTCCAGTAGGTGCATATATAATTATTATTGAAACTTAAACAGTTATAGAGTGGTGGTACAAGAGTACCATTAGAAAGAAAGATGGTCCGATTTATCGATAATTTTTCCATGGGTACACGAGGTGCCGCGAGTGCCGAGTGAGTTCTCAGAATATATTTTACAGTGAAAACTGAAGACGAAATTTCAAAGAGTCTTTATTTTTATTGGTTTTGACAATTTTAATTTCACTTTAAATTCAGTCTCAATTTTTATAAGTAGCACAAATTCATTTATCTCTAGCAATTTATCAACTCTTAGTATTACAGTAGTGCTGTTCGGAATACTATGGTATTTATTTCTTCCGAATGGAGTTGTTCACCTATACAGTGTAATCAGTAATAGTTCGTTTCAGGTATTTCCTGATAAAAGGCTATGCTGTGATATTTTTTCACCGAGATAATTCTCTGAAACCTTTCAGACGAAAGTTCTGTAATTTATTTGATCATTTAGTTGTGAATAACTCAGGAAGAATTGAAGGCTTGTTAATCATTCGCTTTGCTTTCTTTTTCTTATCATTAATGAAAATCATACTCGGTATACGGATCTCAGTATATTACAGTTTTAAAACATATTTCATTATATAAGTGGTGTCCGCCTTCTATTTATCTCTTTTTATTAGGTGATATAGCTAAAGTACTGCAAACTATCTTCACAAGCTTTTTAAGAAAAAGAATATGATTTTGAACTTGTCCCACAAAACTTACCCAGATGTTAAAAATTGATTCATTTTCAATCATACTTCTCAGAAATCTCTCAAGATTCTAAAGATTTACTGAATTACAGTTCGAGATATGCCGGGTTTAGTAGAAGCTTTGACGTTGAACAGTGAATTTTCCGATCGGCTTCTAATGATATCATTCGTCGACGTATCTGCGTATTTGACGACCCTTGAAATGATTTGTCTACGTCTTCGGCCTCTAAGTTCTTCCCTTCTAATTTATCTCGCTGCTGCTGTTTCGGATTTTTATATATCCGAAGAAAATTTGGTACTTGTTTCCGATTTTTTAAATAAATCCAAGCATTAACAATTAGTAACTACGACTGTGTTTTAGTCTGCAAGTGCTAAAAATGAGAAGCACAACTTTACAAGTGTTAACATCGAAAGACGAATTCTGACATATCATTTTAGCCAGAACACAAGATTCATTCAAATCAAGGAAGCTTGCAATTATCGCTCAATATTGTTCCTAAAATTTTGAAAAAACTGGTCAGAGATATCGTGCCAAAAGCATTTGTCGTTTCATTTAAGGTACTTGTTTCATATATAAATCTGTCATGAAAGCCCATAAAAGGGGACTAGAAATTCTTAAGATCTTTTCAATCACTATTAGACTAATATAGATTGAATCATGAAAAGCACCACACTCCATCTCAATTCAACACACTGTAGCTTGAGATCACTTATATTTTTGTTGCCTATCCCAATAAATTGGGCATTCGTGTAATATAAAGTTGGCATTCAGATCAGCCATCGATCTTTCATTTTCAACTACTAATTTATTAGGCATAATGATTCAAAAAATTGTGTTTTGTGCATGTTCAATTTTTAGTTGGAAACTGATGAAGCAATATTGGTTAGTAAAGCGCATCAGGCTCTCCAGAATTATGGACATCAGGTGAATCCATATTACTAAAGATCGGAATTGATTTTAAGGAATTCAGTAGAAGGAAAATATCCAGTAGATGAATATTCCGACTGATGTGATAGCCTTATGGATTTATCACGCTTTATTATGTCCTTCTGTGCTCAACTACAATTAGGACAGCTTTGAAAAAAACGACAACTACTTGAAGTCATACTTTCGTCCTTAATTATTCAAAATGCTAAGATTTTTCGAAAATATGCAAAGAAGGCTATAAATCGAATTTAGAGCGGGATAGATCAATAAAACTATTATTATATCTGGAGAAGGTGTAACTCTATTTGGACATTATCATTCACTGCTTACTTATTTGAAGGAGTAGCTACATTTCGTCTGTTACTCGTTTTTTACTAATTAAAACATAGAACATATTTATTGCAGCTAGTAATTGGAAATATACTGGATACACGGAAAGAGCGAGTAATATTTGTTAGTAATGGGTATAAAGAGGAGACGATACTCTTGAGCGATGAGCAAAAAGCTGCAGGTATTGAAATCGAACAACCGATTGTTGACAAACTTGTTGAGATGCATGATAAATTATTACTCAACACCAAATGATAAAATACTAAAAATGATGTATTTCTTGTAAGCGATGGGCTGAATAACTGGTTGTGCATGTTCATCTTATTTAACTATACATATCCTGAATTTGTTCTTTCCTGAATAAAGATTGTAATTCCAGACTGAATTTTCGAGATGTTCTGATGATTCCTTTATTTAAATATAACAAAATGAATTAGAGATTTTTAAAATCCTGGTCAAGCCTCTGCAATAATTTTGTTGTAAAGTTGTAAAGAGTTATTAACATACGCATTTTTAAATATTACTGTTTTCACGTACTGTTCTTGGAAAAGCTCAATGGGAACTGCTGGAAATATAAAGTGTGTGAAACACCTTAAATTTATACACATGTATAGATCTCTAAAATTAAGGGAAAATTTTTAACAAGTAATAAAACTGCCATATATATTACATAAATTTGACCCACAAGAACAAACAAGTACCAAAAGCTTTCGGGGAAATTTTGAACACTGCCAAAATCCAGATGTAGATCTCAGGTCATCAAACAGCTATTGCAGTGCCCTGAAAATAAAAAAAAAGGGGAGACAATTGCAAACGCAGGGTAAACACTACAAACTTTTCGAATTGTTAGTAGAATTTTAATTCACTCTTGTTAATTTCCAGAATATCTCTGCAAAAAAAGATTTCATTTGTTTCCTGTTACTTATTTGTTGAGTTTATAAGAATGTCAGAAGGGATAATATTAAAATTAAAAATGTGATTTAAAAAAGCACGAGCAAAACTGTTCCCTCCACTGCACTTCTGCAATTCACTCATCAAGATTACATACATCATATAAGCTAGTAATAAATGCAATATGAATGGTAATTCTATCGAATATAGAAAGATAATAGTAATTCTTCACTTATGTTTAGCGATTATATGATGTAAACATTTACTGTTCATTTCCTTCGCACACAAAAAACATGCAAAAAATGGGAAATAAAGTATTTATTTCTAATTCTTTCTCGCGATTCTTCCCATCTATCTCTGTAACGGAGTAAAATCGAATTTATTAGTAATTATCCCAACCTTTTTATATGTAAGAATATAGAATTTTCTTAAACTACGATAATTTTCTTCTATATTGTTTCAAAGCTATAGATGAAATACGATACTGTACAGTTCTAAAGTGTTAAAAATGAGGAACAGAAACTCTTTAACACATCCGGCATCACATTGCAGAGATAAGTCATGCTAATAATAACAGCAGTCAAATATCCCACAAATTTACCTGACAATATTCAATCGCTGCCTGAAACTCAAACTGGTACACTTTAGACTTGGTGTTTCATACTTTATTCAACCTAACGCATTTTTATAATTGACTAAAGCATAAACCAGAATTAATACATTTCAATTAATTTACACCACATAAACAATGAAACTAACTCTTAGGTCCCATAGTGCGACTAAGCCATCTATTGCACACGTGCTGAATTTCTGCATGTTATCATTACGACCGCTGTGTGGCAGAATTTCTCTGAAGCTTTGTAATTGGATTTAAATTTTTTTATAAAAAGATTCAATCGGCTAAATTTTTTTACTTGAAATGGGGTTAATGTGTGCAGCTAAAAATTTTAAAAAGTATTTTTCATGGCATCCATTTTATTATACATTTTAATGCACTATACACTGAAATAGGAAGTCAAGAAATCCTCACGTTATGGCATTTTGATGCATCGTTCTTAAACGTACATCGACAGCTTCAACGGCTGCATTTCGATCAATATTGCGAAATTTTTGCATTGCGCTATTTATATTTGTTGATTTTTGCTCTGATGGAATGTCAAGTTTTGTTACGAATTTAAGTTGGTCACCTGAATACATGAAGAGCATCGGAGAATAATCATGACCCTAAAATGTGTGTTAGGACATGCTTTTATAATTTTTACAAGATTTCGATTGTTAGAGAAAATTTGAATGAAAATAATAAAAAATGGAAAAACATACAGCTGCTACAAGGCTATTTTCGGTGACCCACTGGATAGAAGTGAATGGAAGATATATAGTACGCAAAACAACAGCTTCTTCTAACGAACGATTAGTATCGATGACGGCAACAGTTGCGTCATGAGCAACATAAGACAATCGACAACCAGACGGTGAAAATGCAACATGATGAATCCATCCAGAACTTTTCACCTGAATTATGTTAAAAAAGTAAAATCAACGGTCTACTACATGATAACTTTGATAATCTTTCTGATTAAAATGAAGTCGAAAATTGACATTAAAATTAGAAGATTTCACAAACTAATAAAGCAATATTAGGCAAAACTTTATTACATTTTAAAAATCAAAAAAATGTTCCTGATCCCTTCAAATTCAAACATACTTCACACATCAAAGCACCAAAAGGCATTTTGGTACCCCATGGATTTGGCGAAGGTTTCTCGTCCACTTCTTTCACGTAAGCGGAAAAGACACGAGTCTAAAACGCATAAATTAATTTAAAGTGAACAATACAGAAGCATACTATAGGCGAAATATGATACAAATACAGTTATTTTATTAAAATCTATGAAACAACTTTTGAACCAATTTCAAATAAATTCAAACATCATTATTTATAAACACATTTTGTGCTTTGAATAATAACGTGAAAAGTTAGATTTTCTCAGAAACTTAATGAAATCTCTTCTGCTTACCAATCGTGATGATAATAATATGACTGAAATAAGATTATCATCGCAATCTTATTAAAATGAGCAAACACACAGTAATCTATCTTATAACTAGCAATAAATGACAACTATTGAAATTTTATGTCAATTATTAGAATTACCTTAAAATCGCATGCACCGACAGCAAGCAGCACGTTATTGGGATGCCAATCAATGCATGTAACGGTGGAACGAATCGGTTTTTTGATTTGTTTACAGATCCACCAGTCATTCTCTTTCTCATAATAACATACTGACACCAATTTAGCTCCGCTACCAACAGCAAATTTATTTTCTGCAGGAAAATTATTCTAAATTATTTAACATTTCTGTTCACCAATTTTTTCTCAGAGAACTAAGAAAATTCTCAATAATTAGCAGTTAGTAGAGAAATGTAAAAAGTATGAAAAATTTTTTGAAAATCCACTTGAAATCTGAGAAAGTTAATTCTATATCAGTTGAATGAATGTCATGTTCATATCGTAGCAAACCTTTAAATGCATTTCTAAAGAGAAACTTTTCCATCACAAGTGCAACAATTCTCTCGTTTTAGACACGTATTGATGCTAGAGATCAACTTTAACTAGCTCAATCTTTGATTGATAAACTTATTTAAGCAAGCAATAATTCAAATTTTAATATAAGAAAAGTTTCCGCTTCTAGCGAAATGGTTTCAACCTTCAGCGTGAGAATACTCTTTTTTAGTTTCAACTAAAGCTGTCAATAAACTATTAACTGAATAATGATGAAAAGACAAACCATATGGTGACCACCTCACGCATGTTGCTGCTCTCTGCATACGTACAACAACTAATTCCGGTTTCCAATGCTTCCCATCAAAGGTCCATACAAAGGCATTCTTATCCTAAATATTAATAAACTAAGCCAAAGAAGGACACAACATGAAGTAAATCTTCCCACCATAAAGCAGAAAGTCTGTAAAAAGAAAATGTATATACTTTCAACTGATTCGAATTTAGAAATCCTAACAAATAATGGAAAATTATGATAAATATTGTTGTTCTAATCTCTCCTCGTTAAAAAAATACAATTATAAGACTTGCCTGTGCACATGAAACTATACGATTGGTTTTCGGAGCCCAGTCTAGACCAGTTATCGGCAAATCATGTTCAGCTAACAATGCCGCCAATGTCCATCGTCCATTTTGCCATTGAAATACATGAATTTCGTTATTTGATGGTGAAACAGCGAGCACTACGAATAAGTAGTAATGATTTTAAAAATTCTGCTTACTTGTAATAATCAATTAATTTTGCTTGCCATAATTTCAAACACAAATGAAAAAAAATGGTGTTAAAAGAAGGAATGAATGGAAGGAGAAAACGATGACTAATCACAATTTCGAACAAAAATTCACTGTAAATTTCCTCATGCAATTCTAATTTAGATAATTGATTCTTTAATTTAGATAATTTAGATAATCGATCCATCCAATCCTTCACTTATTCTAATGTGCAGTTAGCCACTGATAGATATAATCACGAAAAATAAACAAACTTGTTCGATCACGATTCCATGCATGGCATGATATTGGACCTATTCCTAAATCCCATTGTTGTACGGGAAACGTAGGCATTCTTGACGTACAACTTTTCAAGTCTTTAAAAATAGATTTAAGTAACGGTTAAAATAGATTTAACTTAAAACAGACATATGCTATGAACAGAAAGTTATAAATATTAAGAAAGATTTTCCGAGTACATCCATTCTACCTCTTTTTAATAAATTATGAAAAAAGATGGAATGAGGGGAATATCTTCAGGATAATCCCACAGTCCTCTCTGTTTTGGGCTCTAAAAGGTTATCAGACTGTTATCGAAACAGTCAGACAACCTTTTAGAGCACCGAAACAATCGCAAAATCCCTCAAAATACCGAAATAATCATCAAATCAATATTATTTTCTGAAATTCGCTATAGAGCAGAACAGAAGAGAGTGCACAAAGAGATAGAGTCTGGACCGAAATACTATTGTCTCGGGATTAAGTGGAACAGAAAATAGTGCTTGTATATGGGAGACGACAGAAATTCTTAACACAAAAAGTTCCATATGATAGAGAAAAAAGTATGTGTTTGGCTGCAATCGAATAGAGAGCAGAGATTGATAAAAGTATGCAAATATAACCTGCTGGTACTGCTGAGATTAATGATTGGGAAGGCGAAGGATGATGAGACTGGGCTATATATGTGAACTGAATCATTTCTCTCTCAACTTAAACCTGTCATTTTGTGCTTCCTAAAACTTTAATTCATTTAGCACAAAAAAAATTTTAATTCAATCTGTACGATGCAAATATTTCGATGTTTAAC